GATTCCGGGTATAAATAAAATAAAATAAGACAAAAAAGATAGTTCGTGGTAGTTTATTGGTCCTCCAAACAAAAGGCTGCTATAGTTGCAGAAGTATTCATATAATCACTACAGTTTATAGAAAGCAACCTGGATAAATCATCTGTGTCATCCTCCATTTGTCACTTAGGAGCTGGCAAACTCAGAGTTGGATTCATGGCAGATCAGCAGGAAATGCCATCTAAAACAGGCACTGCGTGCCTCATAAAGACCGTGTGCATCCAGTCTACTCTTACAAGTGTAGGAGGGAAGTTTGCCCTCCCAGGAGGGTGCAACCATATCTGCAAGGACACAGGTATTAGGAGATAACCAAGCCCACACAGGGAAATCAAGCAAGTGGATGAATTTATGCCAGGCTAATCAATACAACATAAAAGATCTACTACCTAAAGTTCAGAAAGATAAAGACTTGCTTAGTCACCCAGCTGGAGACAGAGCCAAATCCCAGGTGTTTCTGAGCCCAGAGTCCACATCACTATCACCATGTCACAACTTCTTCACATAGTGGGAGGGAGCCAGTCATGACCTGGGGCTAGAGAACACTAACAGAACAACCTGCCCTGGAAGAAAGTGAGGGTTTCTCTGCAAGCAGGGGAGATGGGGAAGAGTTCCCACGTGAAGACGGCAGGTGTGGGATGGAATGTAACAGAACATTGCCTGCTCCCTCCGAGGGGAGAGCACTGTACTAGGAGTACTCAGACCATGAGGTTTGGAAAGTTGAATAAAAATACAATCTGTGCGGCAAACATTAACAGGCATGCAAGTCACTTGGGGATGTGGTTAAGTCAGATTACCATACTGTAAGAGCAGGAGGGGCCTGACACTCTGCATTTACACAAAACCCCGGGTGCTCTCTGTGCTGCTGTCCAGAGACACATTGAGGGACACTGAGGGGAGAGGACAGACTGAAGGAAGGGTATGGGAAAGAGGTGTCCAACCTGGACAACCGTGCAGTCTACTACGGTGTGTGGGATCAAGTATATTTGAGATTGGAAATGAGCTGAGTTTGACACATGATCACTTTGAGGGGCTCAGGTGGACAAGTCCAGATGGCAGATACCCAGGGAGTCGGATGCCAAGAGAAAGGCCCAGCATGGAGCTTTTCCTGGAATCCTGTCCTGGAGAGACTTGGTGAGACACTGGGTCAGAGAGACACTAGGTGGCAAAGAAAAAGGATGATAATTCCTTTGCATCTCAGGGGTGGCTCCAGAAAACAGAAAGAATATCAATCTACTGCAGCCTGAGAGTAAGGCACTGCGTCATAGGGGACAGACAGTTGGTGGCACTCATTTTGGTTCTTTTTCCCTGACACTAATGGGGACACAAATCACTCGACTCTGCCCCCTGAATATCTTGCATGGCTCTTTTTTGGCCCTGTGCCCTGCGTCCCAGGAGGCCTCTCAGAAGATCTGGAGGTCCAAGTGTTTTCTCTGTGGTTTTGTGAGCCCATGCAGTGGGTTGTGAGCCAGTACAACACACACACATCGCAAAACAATAGTGACATGCACACTCCCTCCTCATACAAGTACAGGCAAACAAGGACACCTGGGCTCAGAGTGCTGCTCTCAGGACCTGACCCTGTGTTCATTCATCCATCTCTAGAAAATGTATTTGTGCAGATCACTCAGAGTCTTCTGTGGGCCTGCTTTACTGCGGATGTAAATAATCCAACTATAAGATACGTTTTGATGCAGCTGAGGATATTCATATGGGCTATTTGAAAAAAATTAGAAATGATATATTTTTAGTAGTATAGTGAAATTGCTTATTACATGTTTACATTTTAAAGAAGCATAGTGAGGTACACTTCCCACAATACACAAATACATATGCACAATGGTATCACAGTATTGTGTGTAATTCAAAAATACTGGAAAAAATATAAATGTTGGCACATAGGCAAGTGGAGGCCCAAACAATGAAGAGATGTGCTGTAAAAAAAAGTTTCTTTTTGAATTTGAGATAATTTCTGTGATCCATAGTGAAATGTTATTGGTTTTTTTGGTAATGGGGATTAAACTCATACCTCATGCCTACCAGGCAGGTGCTTAAACCACTGAGCTAAATCCCCAGATACATAGTGAAATGGAAATAATAACAAATCATGAAGAAAAAGAGTCTCTGTAGTATGTTACCCTTCATGAGAGGAAGAACAGCTTATATGAAAATATATGCTGAGCAAGATAAAAACAAATGGGTAAGTCACAAACCAATGCCATTGGTTCCCTGGAGGAGGAGGAGGAGGAGGAGGAGGAGGAGGAGGAGGAGGAGGAGGAGGAGGAGGAGGAGGAGGAGGAGGAGGAGAAAAATGGAAAAGAGAAGGCATGGGAATGGACAGCACTGATGAGCAGGGAGCCTCATCGCTCTGAGGGCACTGCTAGGATTAACCATGACTCTTAGGACCGTGGGAAAGTTATACCTGTAAGAGACCAAATAATTAATTAGAAGAAACATGAATGTGAAGCCAACCCAAGCTGGGATACAAACTCTAACAGCCTAACAGCATTTCACTAGGTAAGTCAACCAAACTGAAATGCTGAGGGGGAAACTAACAGGTATCTTTGGAAAATTTCATTTTGACTAAGTAGTGTAAGGCTGAAGGCAGATGTGCAAGATAAAACATATTTGGCTCTCTTTAGTAACTTCGTTTCTGATGCAGCTACCTACTAGCTGGTTCTGGTATCATGCACATTACAAGTAAGCAAATATGTAAAGTTTCTCATTTGTCAGAGAAAGTTCATTCAAAGGCTAACCAAATCTACTGAATTGAAATATCTGGTACACTTGATTTGTTAGTATGCACATGAATATAGATACAGAAATATATAGTGTATTCAGTCTATAGGTGAGCTAACACATACGTGTGTATGTGTTTCCCATTGGTAAGCACTGAGGACCATGCCAACCTCAGAAGTGAGGACCAGGCAGAGTCTAGTGCCTGGGTTTGTTTTTTTTTCTTTTTGAGACAGGGTCTCACTATGCAGTTCAGGCTGGCCTTGAGCTCTCTTTGTAGCCCAGGCTGGTCTCAGATCGTCACTATCCACCTCAGCTCAGCCCTCCAAGGGCTTGGGCTACAGACATGTGCCACCATATCCAGAAGTATATAGTTTTGAATACATTTCCCAATTTAAAACAAAAACAAGAATCATTTGAGAAATGTCTGAATGCAGGACTGGGGCAGAAGACATAGCTGATAAGCAGGCAACACCTTCAGTACAGAAAATATCCAGAAATGCTCGCAACAGAGAGTGTTGCTATAAAAGATAAGCTAGAAGCCACCATGCAGCAGCCCTCACAGACCAAAGCTGGGACAATCTGTGTAACACAGTATGTCTTGGATGTATTAGCTTGGATTCTTAGATTAAAATATCCATCAGTCCGTCTTAATGTCAGTAAATTGATGACAAACAACTAATCAAACAAGAAAGATGCTTTGGAGAAGAATTACAGTTACTAAAAGTGGAAGGAATGAGGGAAATTGATCAGCACTTTAGTGATATTTGCTCCAAGAAAGTTCTATTATGGATACTAATAGATAGAAATTGATAAAAATGTATTCAGAAGCAGAATATTGTCATGGTCATAATGTATCTCCCACAAGATACTTATTTATTCCAGGCGGGAACAAAGTAACATTTGACAAGCCTGGCAGACATGATTTTAATAGGGATCAAGGCTAACATTACCATGAATGCAACACATTATCTCTGGAATGTAATATTATGTTTGGAAATCATGCACTGAGAGGGTGGTAGCTTAACTTGTAAAACACTTTGCAAAAAAAATCAAGTATAACATCTGCAAATACTGAGAAAAACGCAGGCAAATTCAAGTTGAGACACATTCCATAAAATAACTACTATCCTTCCAAAATGTCAAATCACAGAAGACAAATGAACAACAGAACTAGATGAACTTCAAACTCTTTTTAGAGCTTTCATAAATAACATTGAAATGCAACACCAGTGGACCTGAGATCCAGCCACAGAGTGAGGAAAACAAGCCGACACAGAAACTAAGTACTGTGTTGAGTGTGGAGAAGATTTTGGACTAGAAAAGGGATGTTGGTTGAAAAATTGGCGACCTCTCAACAAGGATTAGTATTCAGTTAACAATATCATCAATGTGAAATTCCTCATTTTGACACTGTACTTAGGTTATATAAGATATATTCTGGATTAAAGGATATTTTGAACACTGTATTAGTTCTATAATTTTTATTTTAAAAAGCAAAGGACGAAAGACAGAAACAACACAGAATTTGAAAAAAATAGGAAATTGACAGTAGTTAATATAAAGCATATTGTTACCTTAGAAGTAGTTGTTCAGGCTACAAGATTTAGGCAGGAAAAAATTATCAAACAATCAAACAATGAAAGTACAAACTGTTCTTCAGTTCTGTAATTTTTTTGCAGCCTTAGTAATTTCAAAGAAAGTTTAAAAGGAGAAATTAATTTATTTTTGATGAACTAAAAATGCTGTTGGGATTTGCTTCAAATATTGTTGACACCTGTAGGCCAGGATGCCTTCAAAAGGATTACAGTTCATTGTGGAGGCCAGACACCCAGATTCCCTGTGTTTATACAATTGTCCAGCTGTATTCATAATTTCGACTTTCAATATATGTAGATGATGATTTCACAATTTACTCCATCAGGACTCATTTCCCAAAACCATATCCCTAAGGCCCTGTCTTCCCGTCACCATATTTTTTCGTAGGCCATAAACTTGGCAGCCTATTTTACAAAATCCTTCAGGAGCAGAATACACGTGACCTTCTGGGGCAGCTGAAGGAACTTCAGACCCCTCTTAGTGCACTCACAGATAGCACTGAAGGGCAGCAGCAATGATTACTCATTTTCTGTTTAATCTGGCGTGGACTCCGGAAGCTTCAGCTGTGGGAGTGGCTGCTCCCTATTGGGCTCAGCGATTTTCTAGGCAAGAGTGGCCAGGATATTAAAGCAGCTTCTGCTCCCTTGCTCAGTCAGCCTTGGACTGCTGAACACAGAGAACGGCAGGACATCACTCAGGTTGGTGCTGCCTTTTAAATCTTCATAAATGTTCTCATGTCTGTTTCACTAGGTGGTTCCTTGTGTGAACACTTCAGGTCTTCTGCCTTGTGTGCTCAGGGTATAACTCAAGCATCTTTTCTTAGTCCTTTAAGGAAAAAAATGCAGTAATTTAGAAAATGAATCCACAGTCGTTGATGACATGAGAAAAGTAAGAGTGCTGTCATTTTCAGCCATCTAAATATATAACCACAGAGAGCCTGGAGGGCACAGCAGTGTGCACTAAAGCACTGGACACTGAAGATGTGGCACTAGTGTGATTCCTGCAGGTGCCCACACAAAAATACTGGGTTTTTATTTGGGAAGGTCACATATCTGGGAAATCATCTTAAGCAGTGAATATGGATCCGGATGGATGTATGCCTCTTGTACCTTTGAGGCCAAATAACCAGTGTGGAAACCAATCCTCTGCAGCTGCCAATCCGAATCCAAACTTGCATTCTATGACAGAAGTGAATGCGCATGTGCGCGCCTTTGTCATTTGCCAAGTACTAGGACATTCCTCCTCTTCCTCCTGCTCCTTTTCTCCAGCTCCCACTGCACCTGTTCTTGCTTCTCTCTCTCATTCTCTTTGTCTTTCTCCCTCTTCTTCTTCCCTTTCCACCTCTTTCAGTGCTGCTGAGACCAGAAGGTGAGCAGTGTTCAAAATCTCAAAATGCAAGTGAACATAAATAGATAAGACTTTAGAAGAGAACGTCAGGTGGAACTGAGTTTAACTTTCAGGAAAACCTAAGAATGACAATGCTGTTCTTTTTGAATTACTATGTTCTCAGTATAACAGAACATAAACTAATTCTCTTGATTTGCCAAGTTAAATATTCTCCTAGGTTACACTGCCAATTTGCCTAACCAATTTTTATGCAATTTGTCCCTTTTATATAAATGACTTTCACTGCTTTTAGAGTTCTATAAATAATTATCAGGATTATCACAATTATCATCATAATAAATCAATTTATTACCATAATCCTAGCTTTTGATTTAATTTCTCTCTACTAACTGTACTCTTAAATGATGAAGTCCTATAAAGCAAATGAAAAAAAGCTTATGTGACTTGAGCTACCATGCTGTCAGGTACACGGACTGAGAATTGAATGCTGAGAAATATGCCATGATAGCAACTAGGACAACTTCTCTGCTTTCTGGAGCTCACAATCAAGTGAGTGTCCATAGGGAGGTACAAAACAAAATAAAAACAAAGACAAAAACAAAAAAACAAAAACCTAAACAAACAACAAAACTGTAACTTTTGTAGGCTGTGAAAAATTAGTAATAAGACACTAGAATAAATATCAGAAGAACTGAGTTTGAATCTCACCTTTGTTGTGTATGAGTTAGCTGACAATGACAACACTCTAAAATTTGGAGGAAGAACCAGATGATTTCTTAGGTCCTCTTTTTATTTAATGTCTTGGGAAGTCCAGAAAGGATGACCAGATATATCAGAACAAGTATGCAAGGTACCAAAGTCATCAAGTAGGACGTAACCCAATTAGAGTCAGCTGTGTCAAGGAATCATTGTCAGCATGCAAAAAACACAATTATACAGGAAAGCTTCATAATATAAGAGATCCTGTGAAAAACCATACCACCTGGCGGCAAAGATACTGACATGTGACGGAGAATATGCACTGCATGATATGCTACAAATAGTTTCTTTATATATCCTTGGGGAGCAACCCTAATATAAGCAATAAGAAAGGACACGTGAAAAATATGCAAACAGATGAGGCTGGGTGATGTAGGAGCTGTATGGGGCAGAAAGTACAAGTCCTTGATTCACAACTTTGTAACTTTCTCCCATGCCTCTGACTTGCTTAGAGAACAATGTTATCCGCTTTGAATCCTCATAAACTGATAAAGTTTAGCAATTACAAGATACATTTTTGCTCTGTCAGTATTTATGAGTCTTTGCTTCATCTCCTTAGGGCAGGGACCAAGTCAGGCTGGTATCTCATTCCCTGCCAGCCCTGGTTATCACTTGACACAGGGAAATTGCTCAATAATTGTTAGTTAAGAAGTAATTAGTTAGTTGAATTCTTGCAATAAGAGTTGAGAGGTGTTACATACATGTACTACCTGTCCATGATGTATGTAATCATTATGTATGGCAAACATGTATGAATAAAAATAAAAAGCATATAAAGAAATAAAAAGGAAGTAATTAGGTAATTGAATCTTCACTTTTTACTGAAGCCTGTGCTTTGGTGTGCAACCCTCAGCCAACTTGCCCAACCTCATTGCAGGTCCTGACTAGTTACCCTGCTACATGAGCTGCTCTTCCTGGCTCCCTGCTCAAGCAGCTCAGAACAGAACACTGAAAATACTTTGCTGGATCATGAAAATTAATGCTCGGTATTGAAAATGCAAAACAAAGGGTCCATCCTGAGCAGAGAGATAAATAAAATCAATAACAACCACAGGCCGGTGTCCTGGGACTGCAGAAACACCAGGTAGGCCAGGTTGTGGTGCCGGCCAGTTGGCAGTATGCAGGGATTCACAGCTCTTAAATTTGTATTAATCTCCTTGCCTGATCTTTTTGGAATTACAAACACAGGGATCTTCCACGGCCCAACAGATAGCCTGATTATAGCTGCTCTTCTACGAATGCCGATAGAATCTTTAACTGTTCCTGAGTTAGAGGCCATTGAAAAATCCATTTAAGCTCTATAGTTTTCCATTGAATTGGCAGTGCAGTAATAGGTGGAAAAATTCCCCTTGGTCTTCACCACAAATTTGCCTCACATCCAATTCAGGATCTACCTTGTTTTATTAAAGGCTCAAATGTAAGTGGACAGCCCTCTACATTCTTACCCTGACCTTTGTTTTCTTGATATCCCATCTGGGTCATCATCTTGTTAGCGGTGATGCCTCTTCTGAGGGGCAGAAGTAACTAGGACAGTGCTCCGCTCTACCTCATACATTGATGGGAATGGGTTCAATAAATGATGTTGTAATGCCTGCCGGTCCTTCCAGGCCAATATACAGAAATGGTAGAGCACTCTGTGAGGCAGATTGAGGGGAACCTAAGCCTATCAGAGCTGTGGAGGCAGGTCTAGTTGGCTGAGCAGATGGCCAAGATTGGCTATTGACTATAGTGGCATCAGATCCTATATCCATCGGTCCAGTAAAGCATTTTCCATTTAATTTAATAGTACAAGGAGGTCTATAAAAGAGAAATACTCTGAGAAAAATAAATTTCTCTGCTCAGATGCTTATGGTCAGCTTCATGCAAGAGGGAGAGAGCCGATGAATTGATTAAAGGAAAGAGTAAAATTCGAGCAATCTGACCATCAGGTTCAGTTCCCAAATGTTGCTGGAATACAGTGCAACTGATATTTCTTTGTGACACTCACCACTTATTATAGTAAAAATTACAGTAAGCCCTTTAGAAATTAACCTTGATTTTCCAGTAACTAATCCCATGGTCTCTTCTGGTGCTGGTCCATAGATTCCACTGGGAATTAAAACTAATTCCCTCCCTCCAGTAAATGAATGTGTGAAGCTGCAAGTAAATGTAGTCTTGCACTCTGGGTGGTCCCTGAAGGAGGGTCTTAGTGTCTTGCCTCGTACCCATCCTGGTAGAGATACTGATGTTTGTGTGGTTTGAACTAGATGCAACTGACTTAACTGTGCATGAGGTAGCGGGACATTGTTTAATACTGTCCCCTTGTTCGTGCCTGGCCCCAGGGAAGGGCTTATCTGCCATTTCCCTGAAGCAAGGATGTGCCTTCCTTATGAAATGTAGTCTTACAACCTTTTACCCAGTGAAAACCTTCCATGCAATACAGACATGGGATATGTGGTAAATGAGAGCCTGGTTTAGTAATAGCCTGCCTAGTTTAGGGGGCTGGTGCTTTTGTAGGACCAGCAAGTGTGTCCTTGAACAATTAGATCATTTGGCCATATCAGCCTTATGGGCAAGATACTGGGATGTAGCCTGTGCCATGAGTGCAGAAGTGTGACTGGTAGATTCAGCATTTTGGCCTGCTTGTAAGGAAGTAGATGAGTCCTTAGTATGAAGCACTGAGGCTAAAGCTCATTTACAATCCTTGTTGATGTTCTCATATGCTAATTGACAAAAGAGTATTTTAGTTGCATTATCATAAGAAGAAATCTGTCTATTTACAGCTTCTTGCAGTCTAGCTGCAATCTTGGTGTAAGTTTCTGTAAGACTTTGGAGTAAAGTCTTATGGGTAAAAGATTTATTGGATGTACTATTTTCTGGGACAGAAATCCATGCTTGATGCAGCAGTTCTTTGCACTGTGTGCATGACTGAACCTTCAAATCAGCACATCCGAGCCAGATAGCATTTCCTGAGTAATAGCTTGTAAGTTTTCATCTTATCTTGTTTATTCTGAGTTTCTTCTGAAATCATTGCCTTTAAATGTAATTCAAAATGTGGGAATTGCACTGATGATAGGCATGTGTGGGCAAGATGGTTACATCACCTGGCACCTTTTGAAAACGTTGAATTATGTTATCCAAACAACCAAGAGTATAAAGACCCTGGACTCCATTGTCAAGCATGCCCTGCCTTAATTCTTTCAAGAGTAAAAGATTAAAAGTTTTGTACATACTGCATTTATGAGCCAGGTGTGGTAGTTCTGCATACTGCACGTGAATATAGTGTCATGTCACTGTACTTTAGTTTCCTTGGTGGAGGAGGAGGGAGATTGTTTCTGATCTAATTTTGGGTGAACTATAGGAAGCACAGTGGAAGAAGCAGTATTTTCCAATTGGGGTGTAGAGAACAAAGCTGAGTGTGTGAGTAAATTGGAAAAGTTTTGCATTTCATTATGAATATCTTGCAATAGGAATACATTTGATTATCCCTTTTTAAAAAAAAAAACTATGTTTGATTTTTCTTCAGCAGCCCATGGGGGTCATAATGATCTCTTTCATTATGCTTATATAAGGGCTCTTTTCCATTTTTTTTTTTTGTCTCATTTGTAATCTTTTGGTCAGCACAGTTCGAGTGTATTGTGATGGTACCTTATTGGTCTGCTTTTTTTTGCTAAGCTCTGTTGCAAGGAGGAGAGGGCCACTTTCACTAGTTTATGCACAGCTATTGTTTTGGATGGATTTTTTGGTGCGGGGTTGTAGCTACAAAAAAATCTGCCATGTATTTTATCCCAAAGTCTCATATTGAGTGTATCCACTTTGAGAAAAGAAGTAAAGAAGTTAGAGTAATCCAAAAACCTGCTTTCATGGCATTCTGATGTCTATATTATTTAACAGCCAGCTTCACAATCAATAGACTAAATTATTTCTCTTCTTCATATAGAGAATGTTGCCCATGATGAACAGACTACTAGAACAGATTCCTATTTACTACATGTGTCTGAGCATTAGAAAAATGCTTCACTTACCTTTCAGCTGGTCATGCAAGTTCTGGTGGATTGCCAGCACCTTGATGGTGGCTGTTGTGGTTTGAAGGTCATGCATTCTGATCACACTGGGGGCCAAATATCAGGGACTTCGCCGAGAGCTACAGTTGCCTGTATTAAAGGTACAGCAAGAAGATAAAATGAGATAAGCTTAGTAATACATGATGAGTGACTGGGAAGTTGATGTCTCCAAATGGGCCAAGAGAGCCACTCTTTAATGGGTGTATCCAGTGATAGATGGGGCTAGAAAAAGATTCAGATTTGGTGGAAGACTCAGAGGCCTATGATGCAATGGGTAAGTATAATCTTGGCATGACTTAAATGGGTGAGATGATCTTATGCTAAGAAGGATCTTGCCCTGGTTCTATATCAAACTATCTTTATGATTAAAAGCCGATAAAAAATGAGAAGTTGCGTGTTATGTAGCAGGCTTGTTACAATCCTTATAAAACACGTTACTTTCCTTACAAGTTAATGTAGCAATCACCCTTTTCTAGAGTGTAAAGTAAAGTTTAAACCAGTGGTGGAAAAATAGAATTCTGGTAGAAAAAAAATATGCCTTCTCCAGAGGGAAAACTACACATTGTGGTTGTAGTCAGGGAGGATTGAGCCTCACTGAATATTTAAGGACAAATGGAACCAAAGAACTGGAGAGGGACTCTGTCCAGTCACCTCCTCCCTGTTGGCGATGTCCTCTGGTCTTCAAGGCTCTATCCTGGCTACCAGGTCCTGCCATGGGATGAGGCCTGTGCTGTGTGCTTACGTCCTCAGGATAAAGAAATGGCAATGTGAGACACGTGTGGTGCAATTTCAGGACAGTGCACCCAGAAGAGTGACAGTTTGGTTCAAGGAAGTTTCTGGGACTTCTCTCTCTAACCCTTCCAGGAATAGAGAAACCTATTTTGTATTGTTGGATCGCCAACCATAATCCTAGAGTATATTTTGTTCTGTATATTAATTCATTCATTTATTCACTTTTAGTGAAACCAAAGACTGCTAATATGGCAGGGAAGCCAGTACTTCACTACTTCGATGGACGGGGAAGGATGGAGTCCATCCGATGGCTCCTGGCTGCAGCTGGGGTAGAGGTAGGTTTTTAGTTCTTATGTTGGACCTAAAATTCACTTTATCAAAACAGTTTTCTAAGCCAGAAAAATTCTCCCATAAGAATCTGTGAAGAGGCGTCCCACCCCCACCCCACTCCATCCCACCCTGCTGAATCGCCTCACTGATGGCCCAGCTATGTGCAGCACTGAGGTAAATAGTCTGAGGGCCACAGTCACAAGCACGAGGACAGGTGTTGGCTTGAACTGAGGCCCTGCCATGCCACCCTGCCTTGGAGCCAACTGAGTATGGACTGAAACCTCCAAAAACTGTAAGAAATAAACCTTTCAGGGAGAACATGGTGGATAGATAACAACAGCTATGGAGGCTCTTTGAGATAGCCAGCTTAGATTCTAGGAATGGTATGGTGTGGGGAGTCCTAAGCAGGGGGAGATATACCCTGCTGACCCAGGAACGAACTGAGCTGAGAGAAACCAACTGGAAATGCAATCCCAGTACTATGACTGAAACAATTAAAGTCTCAGTGCCAAACCTGGAACCCATGCCTCTTGAAACCACAGCTTGAATTTCCTGCCACCACTGCTGCATCTAAATTGGCACTGCAGGGATAGAGATGCGAAAGCTCTGAGAGCAGAAATTGGTAAACAAAATTGAGAGCAGAGCTGGCGGGGGGCCCTGCATCAACCTCCAGTGAGTGAGAGGAACAGGGACCCTTCTATAGACTAGGAGGCTCCAACAGAGGACATTCTGGGACCATGCAGACTATATGAAACAGGATGCTGCAGTGACTTCAGTCACATACTCCCCTCTCAAGCAGGATTGGTGGGGAGTGCTTGACCTGGGTGACGCTGCAGATTAAGACCCAGTAGGCTAACCCAAACCAGGTCCCTGTGCCTGGCAGTGCACCCTAATGCAGTGAAGCCTTCAGCAGGTTGACTGACCTGGAGGGGCGGGCCCAGCATAGGCTGCCCCAGTCTGTGTCTCCCTAGTACACTGCAGTAGGCAGGAAAACCTAGCCTGCGCAACTCAAACAAACTGTAACTGTGATCCAGGAAAGGTAACTGCAAAGGAGAATGAGGACAGAAAACATGCAATATCAGGCACGGCACCAATAGATGTAAAGCGATATCTCCAGGATCTCATAGATGAGTTCAAAAGTAAAGTATTTAATCAAGTAAAGCAAGATCTAAGTAAAATAGTTAAAAAATGCTAAGCACCTCCCAAGAAAAAACAGATGGTGGAATGGAAGAACAGAAAAAAGGGGGAGAATTGTTTGATGGAGAAAATAGAGAAAACATAGAATACATGAAGCAGGTTCAAAGAGATTACCAGGAAACTAAAAACTCTATTGAAAGCTGGCATAACAGCTTGAAAGAAACTAAGGATAGGTTATCTGAACTGGAGGACAGATTTGTAATATGGGAGCATGAAAGGAAAAACTTAAAAATAACAAGGAAACAAGCAATAACAATACAAAGGCTAGAAGATGATAAGAGGATCTATAACTTAAGAATTAAGAATGTAAAGGATGAAGCAGGGATACAAACAAATGAACTGCAAAGGCTATTCACAGAAATAATCAAAGAAAACTTCCCTAATATGGGAAAAGTTAAAGATACTCAGATCTAATGAGGCATACAGGACCCCAGCTACCTACAACCCACACAGAACTACACCCAGGCATATAATAATCAAAATTCCAGAAATCCAATATAAGAACAGAATATTAAAAGCTGTCAAAGACAAGAAACAGATCACTTACAAGGGAACACCCATCAGAATTACAGCAGACTTCTCAGCACAAACCATCAAATCACGAAGAGCATGGGGTAAAATAATCAAGCTTTGAAAGACAATAACATTCAGCCAAGATTGATATATCCTGCACAACTGTCCCTAGAAATTTAATGGAGAAACAAGGTACTTCCAGGATAAAGAGGAACTAGAATTTGCAACTACCAATTCAACTCTACAGAGAACACTGCAGGATATTCTAAAACAGAAAAATTCCAAGATTCCAGAAACAATGGCATAGAGGCCACAATGAATGGAGCAGAAAGTGAAATGAAAAGACAAACTGACAATTAATGACAGAAAAAGAGCTCAACAGAAATGAGGAAGAGAAGGTTGGATGGTATGAACAGCTATTTTGGAGCAAACAAGACATAATAGCTAGTGCTGATTTAGTATCATCTTGTTTTGAAATCCCATGAAGCTTTTGTTCTTCTCTCTCCATCAGTCTTAACAGGTTGTATCTTATTGGATCTTATTATATGTGATAATATAAACAAAAAACTTTTATAGACAAGAAGATTATACAGAAATCATTGTTCATTTTCTGTTAGTTGGTTCTAAATACCCTGTAATACTGTCATTCTCTTGAATGGTTTTACATTGTCTTGATATGTTTGATGCTACAGTATACAAAGTTATACTCAAAGATTTCAAGGAAAGAGACACTATGGTAACTACTTTTATGTCAGGATATCTTATGGTAAAACACTATTTTGCTTAAAAGGTTATGTTCTGACCTGTGCTGTTTTGTTGTTATGTCCTCTTTTATCTCAATCTCCTTTTTTAAATTATTTTTTATTTTTATCTTTTTAATTAAGGAAAAAATAAATAAAAATAGCAAGATATAGTAACCCACTTTGATTTCCTATTAATTTGATTTGAAACCCTGTATTGCTGTTACCATTTTGTTTTTACTGATTTTACTCTATTCTGTTTTGCTTGATAGTACCAAGTTTGAGGGTATAGGCAACTTTGAAGACAATAAGATTCACTATGATGCCCATTCTGGTTTGATTTTTTTTCAAGTCCTGTAATGTCTCCAATGTTTTGGTTTTATTGGTTTTGTTCTTTACTGTTTTGTTCAATTTTATTATAACATGATATAGGCAATAATTTTTAAGATAGCAAGAGCCTTATGGTAACCATTGTTGATTACCTGGTATTCTGTTTTTACATTATGTACTATGTCCATCCTTTTGATTTGACTGACTCTGTTTTGTTATGTCACATTTGGTTTTATTCTCTTCAAAAAAATAATAACTGTGGAAGTAATAAAACCCAAAATGTGTAATTGTCATTGTAAAAAAGAGAGGGAAAGAAAGTGCTCTAAAGGATATAATTGCATGTATATTTCAGTGTATAAGATAGATAACCATATTACTGAGTTTTTGTTGGGCCATTGAACACAAGTGTTTGCAATCTCACTGTTTGAATGTTCACTTTATATGCTTTAATTTTGTAACTTGAACAACAAGTTCTAAGATGACAATATGTAATCTATTAACTAGTGATTTCCTACTGTTTATTTTTTTAATTCTGTATAACTTGTACACTTTTTCTGTTTTTTTTCTTTTTCTCCTTTAAAATTTAAAAAAAAGAATCCATGAGGAATTTTGTCATAAATAAAAATATCCCTACTTATTAAAAAATCAAACAACTTGACCAAATAAAATTATATTTCCAGCAAAAAAGCACATAAGTAAGTATATTTTAAAAAGAAAGCTCAAACACTTACAATGTATAAAATTCATTTGTATTTAAATGAATTATATAATTTAGGTCATTTATGTAACAATTAGAAACTTGGATGTTGGTTAAATATTAGGAGATATTAAATACAGTTAATTTTTAGAGTGCTTTTAAATGTGATATTTTTATTACTTGTAGTCTCAGAACTCAGGAGGCTGAAGCAAAAAGATTACTGCTTGTTTGAGGCCAGTCAGGGTTCAAAGCCAGCCTAAACTGTGTAGTAAAACCCTGTTTCGAAAAGACAAAAAATAAATAAATAAATAAAATAAAAACCATCATGTTTGGGGCTGGGCATGTGGCTATGTGGTAATGCTCTTGCCTTGCATGTAGAAGGCTCTGGATTCAACTCCTAGCACCAAAAACAAAACAAGTCATATTTTATAGACAGACACATTCAAAAGTGTTTCTAAGGAAGTCATATGATGCCTAGGACTGGCTGAACATTATGACAAGGATAGGAGAGAAGGTGGGAATACAGATAAATCTAGATTAGTTTCATTTGGTAACTACTAGAGTTCCTGGGTGACTGATAGCAGGAAGATTTGTGTATTATCTGTATTTTACAGATAGCTCTAGAAATTTATACAATAATAATGTAAAAACATACAAAACCAAGAAGAGCTAAGTTTAAAAAATGCAACTGGAAGGATGGAGGGAGTGGACAGTAACAAACCTCCTGCTAAAAATAGAATACGTTTGTTCAACAAGTAATTTGGGGAAAATCTATTAAATGCCAGGTTCTGTGAAAGCTTCTCCGAATTTTAATTGAATAAGAGACCAGATTTGGCAGACTGGATAATCTTAGGGCAGAGACAAGTAAACAGGAGATTTCAATAAGGGTGTGAAAGGGAGCATTGTACTTTTAAGGACATTCCTGTATCTTTTTAATGGAAGGGAGATGCTGTTAGGACATGGAGACTCCTTCTCTTTAGAGGCATTACTGATAAAAATGCTTCTGAGGACAGACCCCTCTTGGCAACTGAGTGAGGGTTTCTTAGAGAGGAGATTATGGATATTCTATGGATGTTGTCGCTCAGGTGACAGCAGTAAAGGAAGGTTAAAGGGTGAGTATCTTAGTTACTTCCCTGTCACCCTGGCACAATAACTGACATCCACAAATTAAAGGGGGAAAGGTTTGTTTGGTTCACAATTTGCAGAGGTTTCACCCCATAGTTTTCAGTCTCCAAGACAGGATGGAGTAACAGAGGGGCATTGCAGAGGAAAAGTAGTATGGTATGGTATGGAGGCAGAGAGAGAGAGACAGAGAAGAGAGAGAGAGAGAGAGAGAGAGAGAGAGAGAGAGAGAGAGAGAGAGAGAGAGAGAGAGAGAAAGAGGAAGAAGAAGAGGAGGAAGAGGAGGAGGAGGAGGAGGAGAGAGGAGAGACATCTACCATTCCAGGCCACACCCCTACTGATCTACCTCATCCAACCAGGTTTCACCTCCCAACATCGCATTTAGCTACAAACTCATCAGTGGGCTAACACAATGTGGTTATCACACATTCATGATCCAATCACCTCCCAAAAGCCCATCCATGAGCCTTTTGGGCTTTAGGGAAATACCTAGATACAAGCCATAACAGTGAGGTCATGTCCTATAAAGGGAACTTCTAAAGTCCTTGCTAGGCTCTTAGCAATGTGTCTACTTAAGCCAGGGAAACAGTATTTCTCAGTCCTACATAAATCTATGACTCCTTGGCATGATCCTTTCTTAATTTCACAAGAAACAAGTCCACAAAAATGCAAATGATATCGACCCAGACTTTGTTTTTCCTGTAAATAAATGACATGGTTTCAGCATGCTCCAGATGCCAGATGGGGATACTGAGATACATCCCAAGCCTCCAGATAGAATAAGTTCAGCACAAGAAGAGGAAGTAGAGTCAGTGTCCTCAGCATGGAAGGCTTCTACTTCTCCACCAACCCATGACTGAGAAGGGCAGTGGGCAAGGGTGCCTAGAGACCCTTGCTTAAACCTTCTGCACTCTCTCTGCCCAAAGACTGGTAATCACAGGCTCATCCGTGGCCATAAGCCTCATCGTGCATGCTCCACCTTGAACGTTCTCCTGTGGTGAACAGCCACAACATCCAATGGTTCTGTGGATACTATGCAAATTGGTGGCACACACTCTTCAGCATTTGTGCCGCCCACCCTCTCAGATTTTGGAAGTCAACGACAAATGCTGACTTCCCAAGCAAGTGAGAAGGAGATTTACCTACCTTTTCATGATTACAAACTTCTGTTAAACTATGAAAAGGAAAGGAGTGGTGTAAATCACACCACAGATCCAGTGGTAGAGACTCAATGATGACAAAAATCTTAAGTTGGCCTATCACATACACTAAGATGGGAACATAATGATTCTATTTGGATCTCACTAGACATCAGTGGTTCTGCTGAGATTATACAATTTTATAACTAAAAGAATTCCAAGTCCCTGCCTTCCAGTCACAGCTCTCCCAAATTGAGGCCTAACTATGGACTTGTTGGGATCAGAGAAAGGGGAACAATACAAATGAGCAGCCCTGTATGGTGATCTATGCCATTTTCATGATGGATCCAATATAAATTTCCAAGTGCCCAAGATCAGACACTGCCAGACTCAGATATTTAATTTCCTCATGTCTATTACATCATTTTAGGGGTCATTCACATTTAAAGGACTATAATATTATGGAATTAACTAAGAAGAATTTTTTACATTTTCTTCCAGTTTGAAGAGAAGTTTATAACATGTCCGGAAGATTTGGAAAAGTTAAGAAAGGGTAAGATCAAGTATCTAAATGGCTCTGATGAAGGTTTTCAGTATGAAGCTTGAATATTGTATTAGCCAGCTTTCTTGTTGTTGAAGCACAATACCTGACACTCACAATGTGAGCGAAGGGAGCTTTAATTTGGTTCTTGCTTTCAGAATTCAGCCCATGACTGACTGATTCCAAGAGACAAACATCATGGCAGAAGGGTGCAGTGGAGCAAAGGAGCTTAGTTCATGACGACAGGGAACAGACTAGAGGAGCAGTGCCAGAGAGGAATGGGGGGAGCAGGCCACGTACGGTACCCCAAACCACAACTCCACAGCACACCCAGCCACACCCAGGAGCATGCTCTATCCAGGCATTTCTTAATTCAGTGAAGTTGACATATTCTCATTCATGGTCACAACCCACACTTTGTCAACTTCACAACCAAATAATCCTCTGTATTTAATATTCCAATAAAGAAAATACTAAGGTCATAATTCAAAGTAATGTACTGAAATCCCTATGGAATTGTTCTGTCTCCTCTCTGGCAATGTGGCACATGGATGAAAAAAGACAGAGAGAGATCCGCAGGTGAAGGGGCTCTGTGATGACTGATTATTCTCCGTGGAACAAAGGGCCAGGAGTTAGAGTGCCCATGCTCTAATTGATACTAATCAGGGATGCAGGTGGAGGTCTCAATAGAATGTTTGAGAAAAAAAAGCTTTGCAGACATGGCGTGCAGAGGAGGAAAAAAGTACTCTGCACCATGGACAGAGGCTTCCAATTAGTAGCACAACAGATAACCTGATGTGTGAACAGCTGGCACCTTTACTGTCAGAAGGCATCATGTTTTCTGAGTCCCATGGCCTCAGCTGAGATGTTGTGTCTTGCCTTAGCCCTGAAATCTTACAGGCTCAAACCTCTAGTCCAGCTGTCACCAGGGGAGCAATTCTTGCCCGAGGGACAGCACTTTGCCATCCTGAGACACACTGATGCTTTGGTTGAACTCAGTCACATTCTTTTGGCCAATGAAGGGAATATCTGCTTCTATACAGTCAGCTCTGCATATCTCAGCAAACGGGGTTGGAGGACAGGTCAGGTAAAGATAGAGGCAAGGGACTTCATTTCTCAGAGGATTGCAGCTTGGCATCCTCCAACACTAATGTAATATAGCTATTCCACATACAATTGGAAACACAATTCCCCACAGTCTCAGCAGTTCCTGAAATCCAACTCCAACTCTTCTGAGATGCATGGCAAATTCTTTGTTATGAATCTCTGTAAAAAGAAAAAAACTAGTGAGACAATCCTGAGCCTATAATGGTGCAGGTAAACATTCTCATTCCAGGAAAGAGAAATAGGGGCATAGAAAAGAGCAGGACCACATCAAAATGGAAACCCGACAAGGTGAACAGAAAGTCCAGTGACTCCATATCTGGCATCTGAGAAACCCAATGGTAAAATGTAAGTTCTAAAAGACTTGGGGAGACCCATTCCTGTGCTCATGTCAGTCATAGCCTACGTGGCTTCTCTCTTGGGCCAGCTGTACTCACAGCCCACAGATTTTCTTAGCTGATGGTTCAGGATCCTGGCATTTCTTACTTCCTAGGTTCGCCATTGTACCGTTCTTACTCACAGATATCATGCAACACTCATACATTATAGGGGTGATAGTGGGGATGATGGAGTAATAGCAAGTGGTAAAATATGAAATGTATCTTCTTGAGGGATCTTCCGTCTCAGGAATAAAAAGGGCCAGACCTCTTTGAGTGTTTGTCACTAAACAATCCTCACAACCCTATAAATGATCTCTCCTTGCTTCCTCTTGTTTGAGCTATAGTCAGTTCACGATTCCACACTGTTCACCTACTGATGTACACACAAGGATAATCACTAGGTAACAAGCAGAGAAATGTATGGGGCAGTTATCGTGAGCTTTTTCATTTATGGCTTGTTGCGAGTGGATATCCCAGCTACACTGAGATTGACATCGCTATATAAAAACTTTTCTTCAAAACTTTTGTAAATTTCTTGACATCATGAATATTACTTTTGCAGCTCACCTTCAAACATTCTGAAAGTCTTTGTCTTAGTTACTTGCATCATTCCTAAGACAAAATGCCTGAAACTCAAAGTTAAGAAGAAGTTTATTTGACTCACAGATTGTAGACGTTTTAGTTTGTAGTCAGCTGACTCTGAGGCAAGGTGGCACGACAGAGGAACATCGCAGAGGAGTAAGTGGCAAAGCAGGGAGGGAGAAGGCAGGGGCAGTGAAGTAGTAAGCTGCAAGCGACCCGCTTTCTGTTCCTTATATTCCATCCAGGCCACACACTCTTTCAGCAGGCAGCACTCACACCCAGGATGGGCCTGTCCATTACCACGCTTGGAGCTATGCCAACCCAGCCAGGGGATTCATTCAGTAATCACACACCCTTGATCTCAGCATCACACACTCTAGATCCAGCCATCTCTGTAAAAGCCCCACCTATGATTGCACACTGCATGAGGCTTTGGAGGAACATCTAGATGCAAGTCATAATAGTATTCATGAAGATGAATAAAACATTCTGAAAAACAAGAGGTATTTGATATGTAGATGGGAAACGGAAGACAAATGAATAGGTTAAAAAGCAAAAGAAAGGTTGATAAGAAAATGAACTACATGAAGGTAGGAACAAACTGCTACTTTACCTGAAGATAAGTGTGTAATATTTCCCCTTTGTTTTATTTAAGTCATTTGTACAAATGCAGTCTCATCCGCAGACACTGGAAATCATAAACATTTCACCCTTTTTTTACTTTCCTTTTTCCAATAGATGGAGTTCTGATGTTCCAGCAAGTGCCCATGGTGGAGATGGATGGGATGAAGCTGGTGCAGTCCAGAGCCATTCTCAACTACATCGCCACCAAATACAACCTCTATGGGAAAGACACGAAGGAGAGACTCCTGTACGGTAGAATTTTGGCTTTTCCATGGGACATTTAGGTCCCACACTGACTGAGCAGCACCATGGCAGGAAGATCATGAGCAATCATAGGGTGGGCTTGAGAGCCAGACATGTTGGTGCACACCTGCAATTCCAGCATTTGGGAGGCTGAGTTAGGAGGAGGATTACTTTGAGTTCAAGGCTGGCCAGGGTTACACAGTGGGTTCAAGGCCCACCTGAATTATACAGAGATATCTTGTCTCTAAAAATGCAAACAAACAAGCAGCTGGGTGGGCCTAGACATGATGAATGAGGCACACTAATAAAGTCCTAGGAAATAAGAGTATAGTTGACTCTAGGAGCACAAAAATTTATAATTTGGACCTTTGTCAACAGCTTTGGACAAGTGACACAGATTTTGAGGACAAGAAAGAGGGGTTTTTGAGTGGCAGGATTCAAAGAACTTAATTTTCCAATTTCAGAAATTATAAAAATGATGACCTGGACCTAAGAAACCTGCTTATTCTCCAAACATGTCAGCCTGATGAATATTAGTGAGTCTCATGGTACCAGGGCTGACTAATGCATTTCATATGGAGTTAAAACCAGCAGAGCAGCTCTTTAAAACCAAGGTTGGGGGTCTGGGGTTGTCCTTCCTGGCATGGAACTGCTTGACTGAAAATGAAATCCTGCATGAAATTGTTGGCAGTTCCTCCAAAAGTTAAAAATGAACTTATCCAGCAATGCTTCTACCAGATATATGTCCACAGGAAAATGAAATTTTTTAAACTGTTTAGAAATATACTTATCGGGGCTAGGGATTTAGCTCAGCGGCATAAGCACCTGCCTTGCAAGCAGGCAGTCATCAGTTCGATCCCCGGTTCCAATAAAAAAGAAAAAGACAAAAAAAAAAAAAAAAGAAAGAAATATACTTATCAGCATTACTTGAATTTTTCAAAAGTAGAAACACCCCAAAATCCAAGAATGGGTGTGTAGAGAAAAACTGTACTGGAGACATACGATGGTCATAAAAATACATGAAGTGGTGGTGTATTATATAACTGGAATAAAATCTGGTAATATATTGCACATACAAAGGAAAGGTGACACAGAAGGCCACATGTTCCATGATTTTCCATGAAATGTTCATTACATTAAAATTCATAGAGACTGAGAAGCTATTAGTGAGTTCCTAGACTGTAATCAAGGAGAGTTGGTTGCCAAAGAAACAAAATTTTTTGAGAGTAGGTTAATAATAGTGTTCTGATGAACATTGAACATTAGTGAATTCTAATATTTATAAAACTCTGTGAATGCAATATAAACATGAGTATTATATCTTTCAAGGGCTGGCAGCTAAGGTGTGTAAATATGTGGCAGTAAAGCTGTCATATAAATTCCAAAATAACTGTCGAAAGTCTAGCTTGAAATGGCAAAAAGAAAGGTCTCTTATGGCAACTGGTGATGGCTGAATATAAAAACACATCAATGAAGAGGTTATTTTAAGCAGAATAGAGTTGGAAATAAGGCCAACGTTGGAAAACATGTTTAAAAGATTGTGCAAATATGTTTCATGGGAAATAATTGGCAGAATTTCTAACATGAACATGCCGGTGAGCCTCTGTGTAATGGGAGTGAAAAGAACAGAGATGAGCCCGAGGAGCTGTGCCGGAGACTGTCACCTGCTTGGTGTCTAGGCACATGTGAAGAAGATAAGATTGTGTGCTAGCAAACCACACAGAGGCTGCAAGTGCTGTTTGCAGCTCTGATGGCCACATAGAGTGATTCCACAAAGATCGCTCCTCGCTGTGAATCTGCAGTGGCCACCAATGCTCTTTGAACCTACATTTGTTTCGTGGATATAGCAAAAATTATATATACATCCCTACAGATTGTTGTAAGGAGTAAATGTTAATATATAAGTAAAACTCACAGTGTAATGACTACATATAAAACGTATCCACAGTAGGTAAATTACTTTGTAACTATGTAATGCTTTTGTTTTTTTTGTCCCTGGGAATTAAACTCATGACCTCATGCATATCAGGCAAGCACTTGAACCGCTGAGCTAAATTCCCAGGCCCTAGTGTTCTTATTTACTTAGATTTTAAATCATAAAGTCTAAGAAAGGAAATATTTGATTGGATGTGTTTGTCTTTCAGGATTGATATGTATACAGAAGGCGTGGCAGATTTATATGAATTGCTCTTACATTTGATAATAACTCCTCCAGATCAAAAAGAGAGCAAGATGAATTTGATTAGAGACAAAGCAAAGAATCGTTTCTTACCTGCCTTTGAAAAAGTAAGTGAGTCTGCTCAGCGTTTGTGAGCACCAAGTTCAAAGTTTTGGAGAAATGCCATGGCTGGGTTCTCCTAGAGCCTTTGCCTTCCAGGAAGTCCTCAAAATACCAGCACGGAAACAGTGAGGCTCAGGGAGATACCTAAACACAAAGTGAGAGGAAGCATTACATGATTATACCAAAGGTAGGACTTTTGAGCCAAAGTTGAAGTTTTTATGCCTCAACCTAGAATTTCCTCCTTGATGGGATGTTATATTCACAAGGAGAAATTGGTGGGTGGAAGACTGAGCCGCTCTTCAAGTTGTGTGGATTCTGCAGAAGGCCCTGGGCTTGCATTGCATCCCAGAGTGCCTGATGAGAACAGTGTGGCACATGGTATTCTGACCCGGTGTAGAGAGACATGGCAGCAAATGCCAGCTGGAGAATATTGTAGGGTTTTGGGGAGGAATGCAAAGACTCTAAAGAAGGGTGGTGTTAGAGAGATGGAGAGGAGGAGAACATGTAAAGAGACGATAAGAAAGACTCCTATGGGATTTGGGGATATGGCTCTCAGCCTTGGGAGGAGGGCCATCCAAACTGAACAAATAAAGGTCACCATTATAAATGTAGTGTCTACCTTCGTTAACCTTATTTGTGAAGGTTAAGCTAGAATATTTCAAGAAAAAACCACTTGGACTTAAGCTAAACAAACATATAGGTCCCCCCAAAACATTATAAGGGACATGGAATCACACAAATAAGTAAGAGAACTAATCCATCAACACTCATCTTATGAAGCATTAAACTTTCATTACTTCAGTAAAACTTAATAATTGCTGCTTAGCCCAGTGAAAAAAATCATGATTTTAGGAACAATCAAACATGCCACTGGGGATCTTATTGGTTAGGACATATAACATGATGAAAAGTTCTCAGGCATTTAAATCATGTACATTATTATACCTAAGAACTCCATGCAAACACATGAGTTATATATATTACAATAAGGCTTTTGATGTTGCATTCTGTTTTACACCGAAGGTATTTACTGACCTTTTTAAGAGGATTTCTTATTAGAAGGTGATATCATGTTTATTTTTGCTTTTTATTTGATCTGATTTCCATGTTGCTGGAGTATTTAAATAATCATATGCCTTGCAAAAAGTTTATTGCATAAATTTTATACAGCCACAAAAGTGGAAACACATGTTGAATGAATGCATATACATCATCCAGATATGTTGCCTCTATCATGTGTCCATGTCTCTCCCTCTTTCACCATTAGTCAAACACACAACTTTTTATACATTGCAGAGTTACAGCTATCAGTACTGTTTACCGCTAGGCAACTTCCATGAAGATTATACCAGTCTAAGGAAGGAGTCAGAGCCCATCTTGCAAAGGAAATGAACTGAGTTAGCTCAGGTTTATCTCAGATCCCAGGGAGGCAACTAGAAAATGCAGAGAACAGAGACAAGGGGAAACCGAGGCACTAAAGTGGTCTGCACACCTGTGAAGGGTGCTGCTGTGAGGCTGGAGCTGCTGCCCATAGGAGACGGCACACGGAGAGCAGAGGGCAGCCGTGCATCCCAAGGACTCAGGGCTGCTCCTCTCGGGCTGTGGGAGGATGGAGACGTGGTGCAGCAGGAGCTGAGCACTGTACACATGGAAAATGTGGAGAAGGAGAGCAGCACAGGCATGAGAATGAAGGGGGTTCCTGGGCTGTAGCACAGGAGTAGCAGCACCTGATCCTCACCCTTCCTCATGAGTCAGGGCCCTGGTAAAGGCTGGAGCTCCACACTCATCAGGGAAGCAGCAGCAGGGTGGTGTGGGGTGAGAGGCTCAGGGGGATGCCGGGGTTCCAGTCTGATGCTGCTTGTGTTCAGTCTGACTTCTCAAATTCTGCAGGTGTTAAAGGGCCATGGACAAGGCTATCTTGTTGGCAACAAGCTGAGCAAGGCTGACATTCTCCTGACTGAACTTTTGTACATGGTTGAAGAGTTTGACGCCAGTCTTTTGGCCAACTTCACCCTGCTGCAGGTGACTGTTCCACTGCCCTCACAGAGGCGGCCCCACATTTCCCAAAGTGAATCTCTTGTTTGGACCCAGGGTGCAGTTCTGGCTTCCAGCTCCTCTACGTCTTCAGTCCCTTCCCTCATGCCTCCAAAGTGACCATCTAGACATACAAGTTTTCACAATGGTTGTACTACTTTACATTCCCAACTTTGTAGAAAGGTTCTTTTTTTTTTTGTTTTTTTTTTTGTTTTTTTTTTTTGCAGCTTCACCAGCATTTGTTATGATTTGATTTTGTGAAGATAGTCATTTTTTCTAGAATGAGACAAAATCTCAGTTTGTTTAATTTGCACTTCTTTAATAGCCAGGGATGTTGGATTTTTTTCATGTACTTAGTGGCTATTTATACTTATTCTCAAAAGGATCTGCCAATTTCAGTTGCTCATGCTTTAATTGGGACTTTAAATGGGGGCTAAGGTTTTAAATTCTTTGCATATTCCAAACATTCTCCTCTAGCCAACCTTCTTAGACATACACCCTTGTCATTCTGGGGTTTTTTGTAACCAGAAGAACAACAATGTCTGCCAGATGCAGGCAGGGAGATGTAGTGAAGGAAAGAAAGCTAAATGTGGAAAGATCGAGTTGGGATGGAAGATAGAAAATATTAATCAGGGTCCAGATAAAACCAACTTTTACACTAATGATATTTATGGATATTGGTGGTTGGCGGACAGGATTACAGGATGGGGACTGAGATTTTGCTCATTCTAATAAAAATGACTATCTTCCCAAAATCAAATCATAACAAATGCTGGTAAAGCTGCAAGGAAAAAAGAACCTTTCTACAAAGTTGGGAATGTAAAAGAGTACAACCACTATGAAAATTAGTATGTAAATCCTCAAAAACTAAAACTAGAAATTCCACTTGACCCAACCATTCCCTTGTGGATATCCTCTTAAAGTTAAAGACATTTGGGGAATCCAAAATGGCAGAGTACTGAGTGTCAGCTACTCAGCTTCTTAGAATGAAGTGTTGAGAGTTTGGAAACAACATCCTGGAGAGAAATCAAAGAATATCCAAGCCACCCTGGAACCACAAAGAACCAAAAAAGGAGAAGAAAATAGGATTCATTGCTACAGAAGAAACAGCTCACTGTTGCAGGCCTGAGACAGTGTGGTATGGCTAGAGAAGCTGTGTGCTGACCTGGCAGGGAGGGAGTCAGTGAAAGCAACTTAGGCTCTTACTGGGAGACTGACACCTGCCTCTGCCTACACATGTGCAGTCAGAGGTAGCAGAAAACATGAGACACTTTCCGGAGCCCACCCTAGAGTCGTCAGTTGGTGAGTGAACCAGAGTGTTGCACTGAGCACAGTTGTGTGGAGGAGCAGCAACTGGTTGGTGGGACTGTCATTTTGTATCAAAGGGTTTAAGCTTGAAGACCAGCAGCAGAACACCTCCTGGGTTACTTCAGTGCCAGCAGCCAGGAGTGGAATGAAGGAAGGACCGTTAAGTCATAACAGACAGCCAGCAGCTGGACAGTAGACTGAGAGCTTCATTGGGAGGTAGGAGCTGAGACTCAGACCATTCGAGCTGCTGTCAAATGCAAGACTTAGCCCACGTTACAAAGGACTAGAAGTAGCCCCTTCCTTTCCAACTGGCAGCATAAGCAGAGAAGCAGCCTTGGCCTGATGTGGGCAAGGGCACCCCCCACTTTGTTACAGTGGCACAAGTAGGCAAGAGCCTTGGCTAGGGGTAGGACAAGGGTAAGCCCCATCCTTGTGACCGGTAGTGCAAACAGGCAAGCAGCCTTGGGTGACAAAAGGACAAGGACACTGCTCTCACCTGATGAACAACTCATGTACAAGGATCAGCCTCTCACTCGGCAGTAATCCTACTGCAGACTTGGTGGGGTTATTCAGTACAGATTCTGGCTCTGACTAGGGAAATAATATTAAACTAGGGCACCAGAGGATTTTGTTATTTGAGGCAGGATCTTGCTATGTGGTTCATGCTGGCCTGTACTCACAGTGTAACCCAGCCTGGCCTTGAACTCACAGCAATCCTCCTGTTGTGGAGGGGGTAGAGATATGGGAGGAAAATAACTGATATATCATGTGCAGGCAAAATTCCCTGTGACAATGTGATTGTTATATTTACCTAAATTGTACCAATAAGCTTAATTTAAAAAGAGTTAAAGACACCCTATTACAGTGATACATGCATACCTTATGTTTACAACAGTAAAATTCATAAAAGCTAAGTCTTAGAAGCAAAATATAAATTCATTAACAGATGAATGGATAGGGAAAATGTATTTATACACAATAAAGTCCTAATCTGTCATAATTAAGGATAAACTCGGGGCTGGGGATTTAGCTCAGCGGCATAAGTGCCTGCCTTGCAAGCAGGCAGTTGTGAGTTCGATCCCTGGTACCGATAAAAAGGAAAAAGACAAAAAAAAAAAATTAAAAAAAAAAAAGGATAAACTCAAGTCATTTTTAGGAAAATGGATGCACCTTGATAGCATAATTTTAAGTGAAATCAAAGAGAGTTTTCATATTGTGTGGTTTCTTTTATGATAATTCTAAAATATAAATGAATAGCAAAGTAAAAGATAAATAATAGAAAATAGGATGATAGATCTTTTACAAGTTGGAAGAGAACTAAGAGATGGAGGGAAAAGAGAGAGCAGAGAGGAGAAAGGGATAAGATAGAATTAAAGTTTGTCATGTACATGTACCAATTCTCCACAAAGATTGTGATCAGTTTGCATTACAAACGTGTACTAATTAAAACCAAAAATTGAACAAGGAAGGCAAGAAAGACTTAATAAAAATTTTAAAAACTGTTCAAGCAAGATGCTATTGAGCTATGTATTCTCTGTCTTATATTCTGTATGAGTGCATATTTCCTGCACCACATTAGTGTAATAGAACCACTTAATTTGTCTTTTTTTGGGAAGGTGGAGAAAGATTTTCTAACAGTTGATTTGTACTTTAGACCCAATGCTGAAACTATAATTTGTGGGCTCTAAAAACCAGAATCAGTAACCTGCCAAATGTGAAGAAGTTTCTGCAGCCTGGCAGCCAGAGGAAGCCTCTAATGACTGCAGCCTGGCAGCCAGAGGAAGCCTCTAATGACTGAAGAACAGTTAGAAGAAGCAAGAAAGGTGTTCAAGTTTTAGTTAAACTGGTATTGACCAAGCCCATGCATGTGAAACATCTAAATTTTGTGATAATAAAGTTCTTTGCCTAAAGGTTGATCCTGGATTTTATGGGATAAACCATAGATGATTGTATATAATAGTGGCATAAGGAAATTCCTCTGAAAAGTCTTAATTTTGAATTTTGTTTGTTAGGATCTGGTATGGAATCAAATTTTTTTTATTTTGAAGAGAGTAAAATCAAAATAGAATAGAGTCAATCAAAACAAAAACAATGAACATGGTACATGACTTGAAAGCAAGATAAAAGGAAATCAATAATGGCTACCATAATGCCTCTTGTTATTTTCAAAATAACTGCCCATACCATCAGGTATAATAAAATCATATGAAATAGTACAGGATAAAATCAATAAGAACAAAACAATGGAAGCAATACAGGACTTCAAGACAAGATAATAATAAAACTATAGTGTCTACTATAATGCCTCTTGTTATCTTCAATGTAGACACCTACATGATCAGACATGATACAGTCATGCAAAACAAAATAGAACAAAATAAATGAAAACAAAACAATGAAAGCAATATAGGGCTTCAAAACAAGATAACAGGAAATCAATAATGGATACCATAATATACTTTGTTATTTTTGCAACAGCTGTCTATGTCATCAAATCTAATAAAATTAGACAAACTGAAACAGAATAAAACCAACCTAAATAGAACAATGAAAACAATATGGGTTTTAAATCATAATTGTAGATTCACAATGACCACTATCTTCCCTTTTTAGAAACTTCCTCCCCTTTCACTTTCACAACATGTATTGTGCATTTTGGATCCCACTAACTCCTTTAGTTTCTTATACTAGGGAGACAACACGATATTCACCCATGTGACTCTGAACCCTTTCATCTATGAGCATGATCTGAGGCTGCATCCATTTATCTACAAGAACTTTGAGGTTATCTTTCTTGTTTTTTATTTTAAAGAGATTAAGCAAAACAAGACATAACAAAGCAGATCTGAACAGAACAATGTAAGCAACACAGAATTTCAATAGAATACAACAGTAATTAACAGTAACTATCACAATGTCTTTTTCTTTGAAATAGTTGAGTATAACTTCATATACAATAGTATCAAACATAACAAATTAGTATAAAAACATTCAGGAGAATCAGCGTATTATAGGGCATTCAGAACCAAAGAACAGAAAGCAAACAATGGCTATTATATTATCTCATTTTCCATAGAAAATTTGTTTATATTTTAACATGTAATACAATCCAATAAGGTACAACATGATAGAGCCAATGGAAACAGAAGAGTCAAAGCATGGTAGGACTTCAGAGTAAGATGATATTATACCAGTACAGGCTGTTATAATGACTTGTTTCCCTCAAATTATCTGTTCATACCATCACAGTTAATAAAATCAAACAAACAAGGGCAAACCCATTACAACTAACCAATGCGATCATTATAAGATTTCAAAACAATGTAAATTGGGAATCATGATTACCATAAACTTTTACTATTTCTTACACTTGTGAGACTATATGGTATTTATACATATGAGTTTGATTGATTTCACTTATGAGTATGGTCTTAAGTTGCGCCCATTTATTAGTAAATATCTCAATGTGATCATTTTTTACAGCTGAGTAGTACTCCGTTGTATAAAAATGCCACAGCTTTTTTATCCATTCCTTAGTTGATGGACACTTAGGTTGTTTCCAAAATCTGGCTATTACAAATTGTGCTGCTATAAATATGGGTGCACATATATCACTGAGGTGTGATGTTTTCAGTTATTCTGGGAATATGCCAAGAAGTGGATTACCTGGGTCCAATGGG